ACAGTTTAATTTGCTTTGCTTCAAAATAGGTTAATGCCTTCAGATAGAATTAAAAGGCAAGCCAGTCAGGATTCCAATAACCGATGTATAATCTTAGATTGTGGGGTTCAAAACTCCTATCCCTAGCTATCCTGGTAGGATAGACAATGCAGCAGGTAAAATTTTTCTGGGTCAGGAACATGCTGAAGGTTTTGTTTTGTTTTGTTTTAAATAAAAGGTTGTATGTGTATGTGCTTTATTTTAATAAATTGAAAGTTCTTTGATGCCAACAGTTATGCTTTAGCCATTTTACTAAAGTTCATGGTTGGTACTCTACACGAAAGAATGGCTCAACATATGCTTATTCACTCAAAGCAGGAAGACAGAAATGATTTTGGATTATCTCTGTGTTCTTTTTTCCCTCAAAATCTCAACCCTGTTGGGTTTCAATTCCCTCTTGTTATGCTTCTTTTCTGGGTAAAATCTTTCTCTTTAAGCAAGCAAAAGCAAAAATGAATTTTTGAATAGTTCCACTTATGTGTACTTACTGATCACATAAGGCAAACCTTACTTTTATTAATTTTCTTTAAATTTTAGAATTACTAAACAAAAATTGTAATAGGATTTTATAAGTCCCCTTTCGGTCTGGACAGTTTTTCCAATCATCAGTTTATTTGGGGCTAGTGGTCTTTCTGACATTGTTCTTACATGTTTGCTTATATCTATCATTTGTTATACATACAACTTTGGTACCAAAATCTTTCAAATTATATTTTTTAGGAAGAGGTCTCCTGTTTCAGATATACTGCTTCTTCCTTAAGTTCACATCATAATAAATACTCTCCTGAGTGTGTTACTATCCTTTTGAATTGCTGGGATAACATCTATCCTTCATTGTCTTAACCAATCTTCTATGTTGGTTAAGACTAAAATTGATTCTAGAATTTTAGTAGTTTGTGTGGAAGTCAGGCTGTGGTAGGTTATAAAGTGACTGACAGATGAGAATGTGAAAATAGTAACTGTGGACAACTCATTTAAGCTTGGATATTAGAGGTAAGGGAAAGATAAGTTAACATCTAAGGAAGATGGCAGGATCAAGTGATGACTTTAAATACAGACTGGACATAAGCATGTTTAAATATTAATTGAAATATCAGGGATGCCTTGCATCTCTAGATGTATGCATCGGGAAAAAAGGCTGTGGTCATTGGGCTGCTATGTCTTGATAGACTACTATCACACCCTGGATCTATGTTCTACAAAGTCAGCAGAAGTTTTTACTGGTCCTGTTGTCTCTATGCCCCTCAACAAGATTATCAAACCTGTTTTTACATCTTTTCATCTTGGGATTTGTACTATGGGAAGAGAGTAAGTGAAAATAAAAGGAGAAAGAGAAACTAAAACCAGATCCCATGTCTGCTAGAAGGAATACTTCCTCTGCTAGGATACTCTCCCCAAATTCAGTTGATACCTTCAGGTAGACTTGGCTCATATATATGTTTTACCTTTCCAGCATAGTACTTAAAAATTAAATATGAATGCTTTAAATGGAAGAATAAATGCTCATTCACTCATTTTAATCTATATCACTTCCTGTTATTTTAAACCCTGCCTATAATCTGATGCACTGAGTAGACATTTTAGTTTGCAAATCCTGCTCCTACATTATAGGCATTAATACTGTACACAGAACTGTCAAACTGTCTGATAAAGAGCAGAATGAATTTTCTAAAAGGTACCTGAAAATGTGAAATCTTCCATTACTACCAAGCTTTTCTCCATGCTACTTTTGTGATTTGACTGAATAATCAAGGTATCCAAGGAAAACATACTTTAAAGATTTCTGGAATAGGGGCACCTGGGTGTCTCAGTTGGTTAAGCATCCAACTCTTGATTTTGGCTCAGGTCATGATGTCAGGGTCATGAGATTGAGCCCCACCACACCCAGTGTGGAGCCTGCTTAAGTCTCTCTCTCCCTCTGCCTCTCCCCCACTCCCCCTCTTGCTTGTTTTCTCTCTCTCAAATAAATAAATAAATAGACTTCTGGAATAAAATAATTTTGTTTGGTTTCTGTTAGCTTTATTCAAATGTTTTTGGATGTGTTGTTGTCTTTGTGCTTTGGGGTCTCCATGTTTATATTGTCTCTGCTAGTAACACATTTGAAAAAATGACTACTTGGATATTCAGTTTGATTCATGGTTAGGGGTTATTAATGCAGTCACACTGACTGATCCATCATATCATATCTGAATTTTATCTTATAACCCTAGCTTTTCAGATTGTTATACAATACAAACAACACTCCCTTAACCAATATTCTCCTCTTTGAGTTACTAAGAATTTCTCCTTTGTTCTTCATCATTCCTGATGGAACCAAGCGAACACGTTCATAGTTTTGTTTAGATAGTTTTCTTCCTCCATACCATATTTCATTTAGAGGCCTCTAGCATAGCTACCCTCAGATTACTTTTCTTTCTTTGAGCTTATGAGTTAAATCTTTAACTAAGAGTTCAAAATCTTAGGACGTGGTCCAAAACTTCAAATTTGGTTCTTTGACACCATCATCCCTCTACCATATTACTTTCTGTGCCATCTTTTATTCTATTTCTATTCACATTGGCAGAAGAAAGAACATTGCCAGTGCCTGTGTCTAAATTTGTCAGATCAAGATATTAAAATCATAACCACTAGAGGTCTTTCTTAGTTTCTTCTAATGCATAAATCAGCATGACCAGGTGGTATCCTCTGGGGTTTGAAAAGTTTTCACAGTCTTCCCCTAACAACCTGGATACACCTTCCAAGACAAAAGTAGACCTGAGGCCTTATCCCTCAACCAAAGTACCAGTGGTACCATGTACCATATTCTTTTGGTAAATGTATGGTTTTTTAGAACCTATTTGTGTCTGTATTTTCTTCTTATTTACTCCAGTCTCATTTCCAGTAAAGACTTTTTATTCTTGGCTTCTCTAGGAGCTTTGATTCACCTTCAGTACAGCTTCTGTACAGTTCCAGAGGCACAGATGTTTGTCACTGTCTTCCTCATCAGTAGTGCAGTCCTTAGCATGCTGACTCTGGCTTTATTTATACTGTGTCTGTTGTTCTTCAGCGTAAAACAAAATTGTTGAGAGTTCAGAATTCTTCCTGGGGTGATGCTATGACCCCCAAAAACTATGGTCAGTTTCCAACTTGGATGGTGTTGATCAGAAAATAATTATCATTGATTCCCTTTTCATCTGGTCTGACATAGAGACACACAGTCACTGAAAATGGGTAAGAAGGGCTAGGTTTCTAGAAGAATCTATATTTTACCAGACTTTAAATTATATCTTGGCTTTGATTTTGAAAGAATATTGGCAAAATTTCTGATTCAGTTACTCCTCATCGAAGTTAAATACAAAATAAAAATAGAAAAAAAATCCATGAGAGAAAGGCAATTAAATCTATGTTAAAAGGGAAAAGTAAATTATAGATCCTAAAATGAATATATATGTTGAAATAGGAATAAATAAAATGATTACTATGTTAGCAAAATAAATATCTTAAAATAACTATCTACACTATTGTGAATTACACTGTAATATATTGGAAATGACAATTTGGTAAGATTATAAATAGTTGTCAAACAAAAAAATTAAAACAATGCCTTGGCATGTATATTTTATATTTAAAAAGGAAGCATCTTCTATCTTCTCTCCTTATGCAATAATTTTTTTTATAGCTTAAGGAGTTCCCTCCTGAGAAACAGAAATCCAAAGAGGATTTAATTCACCTGCTGAGTAACATTTAATCACACAGCTGGTCAGACATCATTGATGCTTTGTGTGGGTTTTACATTACGGAAGTTGGGAAGGGCATTTTTGAAAATACCACATTTGTAAATTTGCAAACATAAATATTATTCTCAGAAATTCTTTTGGTGACAGGACAGGCAAGTAAGCCCGGGAGCTGGAGCATTACTTGTAAGTAATCATTCCTTTATTTGGAAAACTAAAGAAAGTGCTAAGAAATTTGTATCATTCTGTTCAGCATTTAGTGTTAGAGGTGGGAGCTAAATATTTTCCCAATCACTTAACTCTAGTTCTAAGTTAAATGGGAAAAGATGGAAAAAAGAAGATGTAATCACAAATAGCCAATATGATGAAAAAAGATTTCAGAAGAAAAAATAAATATATAGGAAGACACACACACACACACACACACACACACACACACACACACAGGCAAGTGTATATATATCATCATTTTAGGAAATACATTTTTCATATTCTTTTTGTTTCAGACAATTATAAATATGTCTGTCCATCCATCCATCCATCACCTATGTACATATGTTTATGTATTTACCTAGGGTCATTTCAAATGTACTGATCTATATTTTTATTCTATTAGTGACTAACACAATCCCTATTGCCCTATTCCTTCCTCTGTCTCCCCACCTACATAGTGTAGAGTTTGCTTGTGGAAAGCTGTGTTAGCTTTAAACAAAGAAATCCTGTACTTTTTTGCCCTGCATATAATTCTTTATTTTGACTAAAAAAATTATTTTGGATTTTTTTATAGGTATTTCAACTGTTTCAGCAGAAAAGCTTTTATAGATATCTGTGCCTTAAGTGGCAGTATGCTCAGTGGTTTTAAACTGGTTTGAAACACCGACACTAGGATAAATTTCTCAGTTCCGCAACTTACTAAGACATTGTTTACTCAACAATAAATAAGAATAACGGTAATAACGCTTGCCTCATAGGGGCCTTGTGTCTATCACAGAGTCAGCATCAAATAAATTCTAGCTATTGTTATTCACAGAGAAATCAAAAGAACTATACGTTTTACAATATTCTTCCCTTGTAAGTTTTGTCCAACATTATTCAGCTAAATTGCATTTACAGAGCTGATTGAAAAAGAAAGTTTGTCAGGTAGAAAAAAGAAGCAATGCAAAGATGGGAAATGAAATGAAAAGCAGATGGACCCTCAGAAGTGACTGAAATGAGTGGCAGTGAAGAGTCAAACACATGCACACTTACGGAGCTGCCCAAGTCGGGCTTTTTCTTTTTTACCAAACAGACGTCCTATTGAAGACTTGATTCCCTTCTTCTTGGGGGCTTTGTGAAGAGAGTCTTGGCTGCTATTGGCACTGCCAAGCCCAAGGCTTTCTGGCTCAAGGGAGGCAGACAAACTACTGCAAAACACAAAAGAGAGCAAACTGCTCGTCCCACAAAGTACTAAGACTTGTTTCTTTTAGAAAGGGACAAACGGAAGAACACTTATTTTCTCCCTTTCCTCCTATATTTGCTTTTACACATATTGAAGTTTGGTTTTTTTCAGGCTTAGGGCCTTGAGCCTCCAAATTTTTTCTAGAAAAGATTATTTTTGTTCTAAATGTTTTTCCCCTTATTTCTGATATGATCTCAAATGAATCAATGAACGTAGATTGGCTTATTCATTGCCTGTTAAATGACCCTCCATTCTTTAGCATGTGACCCTTTCCCTATTTCCTTCTCAGAGCTTATGTTTTTTTTCAGTCATAAACATAATGACCTATGATAAGACATTTAAATTTAACTAACAATGAAATTTAAGCTGCCATTCCAGCCCAAATCTTTACTGGGGGTTCTTCTAGCCACCTTTCTCTCTCCCAGTTTTGGAGTCTAAATCGTTTAATTTTAAATCATCTAGGAAGGATTCAGAAGCAAATAATCATATGCTCTAGTGATCACTTTTTGTTTTTTCTTATAGTTCTCAGGTATTCTTTTAGGTACATGATACACTGAAATGAATTCCAAGCAGGTGCTTGATGTTCCATTCCTGGTCAGTGTAACTGACACCGTATTAATAGGAGAGGTTCATATATATTGCTATCTATTCTACAGCTGCTAATGTGACAACACCTTGATGAATTACTTTACTTATTCATCCTAATTAATGAGTTCACATTCTCTAAACTCCAAACCAATAGCTTTCACATGTTAAAATATAATTCACTCTTTTCTTGGAAGGTGAAAGCATATATTTTGAAATTGGAGTAACTTTTGTTTTCCACATTAGAAATCAAAAATAAGCAAAACAGAAAGACAAAAAATGCCTGCCAGCACAGAAAGCTCTGTTTTCAAATATAGTTGCTGTAAAACACATACTATTTAGAAGACAGATTCTTACATAAGTCATTAATACTAAGTCATTATGGTCAGTTATATCAATTATGTGTCTAGAGACGCTGCAATTGATAAGAATGTAAAAGGCCATATATTTAAGATGTGACTCGCATGTTTAGGTTTATTTATGCCATTAATTCTTATGGAGATCTGCTTGCAATTTTGTAGGCTGACAGAAAGGACCACAGGATGAGTTACTGTGAAAAATGGGTATTTTCCCTTACCTTTTCTTTTAATATTTTGGCAAATATACTTTTTTTTTCCTTAAGAACTTTCTGCCTGAGTAGCTGTTCTAGCCAGCAGCACCAGCACCTGGAGGGTGGTATACCTATCTGTCTGCTAAAAGTAAATGATGTGCAATTATGGACTTTTCAGACCCTAATTACTCTTACATTTAAGCCAAATTTATAGTCTTGTCCTCGAATCCCTTAATTTTTCTATTATTCTTCCTAATAAGTCCTTCCATTAGTCTGACTCTATTTTAATAGGAAATAGCCACTAAAAATAGAAGAGTTCGTCTCATCCATATTGGCTAATAAGACCACAAATATACAATTTTAAAACTAAAAATTTGATTTCAGAATGCAAATTTTTTTTTCCACAAGTGATGTTGGGGAGAGGGAGCAGGGCAATACCTTAATGGAGAGTTAGAGCTCAAATAAAATTTCTCATATAATTTTGAGAAATTATATGAGTGCAGTTAATTTGACAACACTGAAAGAAAGAGGAGTGTTTTCTAAAGGAGAGCAGGTCTTGTGCTGTGTTCTGGGAGAGTCGTACCTTCGGGCATCATTGTGGTAGGAGGAGGGAAGGGTGTGAGTCATCCTGATGGCTCTAGGGGTAGGGGGAGGAGAAGTTTCACATTTAATTGTTGCTTTATCCTCCCGACCATCTTCTTCCACCACTGCAATCTAGAAGCGAAAACAATACATTCAGATGAACTCTTTCTAGATTTCAATGGAAATGGATGGAAATGGAGAAATCATTAAGCAATGCTATTTGTGTAATTCTAACACAAAAACAAAATAAAAAATTTGGGGCATAATAGGTCTTACACATATAAATTCACATTATTGAAGAGCGTGTGTCATAACTGTTTAAAAGTAAAGATATTCCAGTTTGAAAAAAAAAACCCTTGGGTAATTTACACAAAAATATTATTTCAGAGTAAATAAACACCATAGATCAGTATCCAGGGACTATAAAAAAGCTATCCTGGAATCCATTTCAATATATCAGGAATGTAAATGTTTTATAAAAAGTTACTGAACACATATTTGAGCTAATTCACTAAAAAAAGTATGCATAGTCAGGTTATCATAACATGGATATCTTTTACATAGATCTTTGAAGTGAGAAGAGAAGGTGGCAAAAATACAACTTTACCAGATAAAGTGTATTAAATCAGGCTAATGAAATGTGTTCCAGATGTTTAAAAAAATGAGTGGCAATTTATTAGAAAAAAAAATTCTTGCAAATTGTTTCATTTCACTACCTCTCATGGGAATGTGGACAAAGGCATACAGAAACAAGAAGATGAGGTGGAAGGGATTTCTTTAAATAATTTAGTTCAGAATCCAGAACAATTCAGGATAAATTTTGTCAGAGACAGACATATAAAACTGCATGACAGTCAGACTTTTCAACAATTGAATTGATTGTAAGGAGGTATTTTTTTACAACAACCCTGCATTTTTTTCCACGGCATCACTGTGCATTGAAATACATACATATAGAGAGAAAGATTCTGGAAAGCATAGTTAGAAGATACAGTTCTGGAAGTTCTGATGACAAAAAGTTAGCAATATGGCTATAGCAAAAATTTTAAAGCTGTTTATCATCTTATGTCTACATAATGCCTTGCTTTGTTTCTATGTTGAGCTATTATTCATAAGTGTGTTTATATATGATATATGATAAAGACCTCATGTATTGGAGAAACTTAATTAAATTGTTTGACTGGGCTTTTGTCATCCAAGCCTAGATTACTTGTAACAGTTCATGTAGGCATCTATATACGATTTCCTCTCTCCATTTCAATGAGTATAGTGCCACCGGAAGAATCTTTTTCAAGAACTACTTTCAGCATGAGGTTAATACTCTGGAAAACTCTTCCTAAACTCACCTCTCATCTAAATTCATAAAGTACGTTTCCAAACTCTACCTAATATGTGTTTATGTCTTCACAGTCCCATGGTCTAGCCGTAATTGTTTTCTGTGATTTTTTTCTGCTAAGCCTGACCCTTCTGCTTCCAGAGTTTTTCCTCTGAAACACCTCCTAAAATGCCTTATTCTCTCCACACCACCAGTCAAATATGCCAACTGTCCAAATACCAGCTTTTAAAAACATCATACACAAACTGTTTGTCTGAATAATGCTTGGAGCTTACACTGTATAAATAAAATAGAGGAGAAACGGTTTGGAATCAGAGATGGATTTGAATTCTGGTTTCTCTTATTTGTTGAATGACGCGTGCTAATTACTTACCTTCTCTAAGATTCAATTTCCTCATCAGCAAAATGGACGTGATAATACTTATCTTAAAGTGTTCTTTTGAAGTGCAAATGGAATCACACCCGTAACTCCTTAGCTTGATACACAACAATTTTTAGTTTGCGGTCTTTCCATGACCTACTTTTTTTACCAACCATTTCTTCACCCGCTAATTTCCCTGAGCCTGAGTTCTTGTATGAGACTTTCCTTTGTCACTTTTATTCTTATACCCACTGAACTTCTTTTACATCCATCATCTACTCAGATTTCTTTCTATATTCCTAGAATAATCCTTTTAAGTGGTAGAGGAAGTCAGAGACAAAGAACTTTATGCATGATAAATTTGACAGTTGAGAACCAAATGGTAGTATCAAGGAGAAGATACCATAGGAAGATAGATGTTAACTCAAGAAAAAAAAAAGTTCCATCAGTCTAAGCCACACAAATACAGATTTCTTTAATTTAAAAAAGACAAAAAAAATAGTTTTCTGGTTCCTGAAGTGTTTGGAAATAGTCTATCACATCTTGATGATGCTGAAAAATAGATTTATGCACTAGATAGTAGGTTGAATCTTTGAAATCTTTCCCATCCAACATCCATGAGTCTGAGCTCTGCTGTTCTCAATTATCTAACAAGATGTCATTTTGTGAATCAGAACTAGAGTCAATTTTGTTTCTCATTTCCAATACTTATTCTATTTATGTCACACCAAATAGGAAGGCATCAGATTAATTATATTTTTATAAGTTCTGTCTTCTTGATGCTCTGGCATCTGGTCCCCAGGACAGAATGTTCCTCTCAGGGCTGGCTAATTCCTAGAGATAGCAAACTACTTCCCTGGAGTGTGCCTTTCATGTGCACATCAATCAATCTAGACCAGTGCGCCAAACCATACTCTCTATCTGGCTCTTACACTTCAGGAGGCAATATTCCTCTGCCTTAATTGTCCCAGGCCAGGAATTGGACAACTAGAGATGGCCCCTATACCTAGAGCCCACCGACATGATTAAAACTAGCCAATCCTAAGCCTGCTTACCCTGCCTTGCCTTTCCAACAGAAACCACAATAAAGCTCCTACTCATCTTTTCTCCTAGCTCTTTCTGCTTCAGGACCTCCTCTGGTACTTCCTTTTGCCTCTGCATAGCATGGCATGCCCTTCCTCTGGGGAAGTGTGAGTAACAAGCTCTCTTTTCGTTGACAGTGGTCTCCTGATCTGTTGGTCTCACATGCCTGAATAACAGTAAAACCTACATTTTAAAAACAAGCAGCACTGTTCTAGCATTGGCAATAAACAATCTAATTCTAGGATATTTAGACCACATAATCTAACCATTATCCTAGGAAGCATAAACAATTTTATTTTGAGGCATCTGTTCTTATAATCATATTTACACAACTGGATAACACTTAAATACTTTTAATATTTCTTTTTATGTTACTAAAATGGCTCAACTAATGGGAATATAATTTTAAAGCTTTCACAGAAAAACAATATTCAACTAGCAATCAAAAAAAAGATATTTACAGTACCTTTCTCCGATGTTTCCTTAGATCACTTGGCTGTGATTGGCAGTAATAAAAACAACATAAAATAGAACTAATTAATGAGTACCATTTGACCATGTTACAAGTTTAAATAGTATTCATAACATGACTGTCTTGTTTTTTCATTCCAGTGTTTTCTAAATAAATGTCTTTAACCATTACAGAAGGACTCCTCCTCAGAGTGATTTCAGAGAGGAACCTTCTTAGATGGAATTGGTAGGGGGCATGTCCACATGAGAGGGTCAAACATATGTCTATGAGATCTGAGACACGGGACCCTAGGGAACAGGAAGCACGTATGCAGTGATCTAGCCAGAAATAAATATGGGACTATATCCTCCCAAGAAAACATAAATGGGAATGAAGAAGATCATATGTAAATGAAGAATCAATGCACATATATGGAGTTTATAAACATTCCCTTTTGCCCTATCTATGCAGAGCCTTGGTCCTCCCTAGGGCAGGGATGTTATCCCTGATGTATCTCACACTTCCTGGCATCCTAACAAATCTCTCATTCCCAAATGCCTAAAGCTCTGGCCTCAGTGTAACATGTTTCTACAGCTGCTGTTTTCTTGTCAATGTGCTTTTACAGAATTTTTTTTAAAAGTTAATTCTTTCTGATTTCCAATGAACCTTATTCACTTAATATCTTCGTTAATTTTTCTTGTGTGAGTAAAACAATTTTATTCCATTTTAGTTACATTTACATTTATATATTTTTATGTTATTGGAAAGTTGGTTGATCTAGTTCATTCAATATTCTAACTAGATATTGGTAGAATGTTCTTTATGCTTATAGATTTGTGGTGAGGTAAAAGTAAATGAAAGCACATTTTATAATCAGGACAAATAACAATGTTTGCAAAACATAAACATATACAATACAAATGAATACAATATCTTTTCAATCTCTGCTTTTCTGTCCCTAAAATTCTTCATTTTCCTCTGAAAATTCAAACATGGATTATATCCAACAGAATTATCCCCCCCAATATTTTCTATAGGTAAAAGAAAATCTACTTGTCTTTCACTGTAGCAGTGATGAATTTAATGACAAACTTTTCTTAGGGTGATAAGGACTTCTGGGTTTCATTTCTTGTTTTTCTGAGTCAGATATGGAAAATTTTAAGTACATTTTTACCCTCAGGAAATGCTTCAAACATTTTTAAGTACTGTAATTACAGTGTAATAATGTTCATTTATCATTGATTTATTTATGACTAACTGCTCAAGAAAATGCATGAAAGCTGTGGCATCTTTTTCAAATATACACAAATATCATGTGTAAATGATGTGTGTAAATGTGTTTATACACATTATTTTATTAGTATAAAATAATAACATTAACAATGTTTATGAAAATACTTTAAAGAGCAAAACACTATGTTGCAAAAATGTAAGGAACAGGACAGAAATAACCAAAGCTTCCTTGCCTTGAATGCTGACTAAATTCTGCTCTGTGGGCCAACATTCTTACTGTAGCTTTGATAATAAACAAGTCATCAATATATGTAGCAAATATAAACAGAAACTAAGCCAGAGACAATATCCTGTTTAGTTAAAGTCAGATTGACGGTTCCTAGATTTCTAAAAATAAGCAGATCATAATGTAGCTCCATATACTGGGTATATAGTACGTTGGCTAAAACTGTGTGCTGTGTCAAAGGGGGTCAGTTCTGATTAGCTGTCCTTTGTCCTGATTGGGCACAGTCTATGATGTTTATTTTAAAATTTTTTTTTAAGATTTTATTTATGTATTTGTGAGAGAGCGAGGAGGAAAAGGGGGGAGGGGCAGAGGGAGAAGCCGACTCCCTGCAGAGCAGCAGGGAGCCTGACTAGGGAGGGGCCAGAGCCCAGGACAAGACCTGAGCTCAAGACCTGGGCCAAAGGGAGCCACTTAACTGACTGAGCCACCCAGGCGCTCCTATTTTAAAAATATTTTTAATATCAAGTCTGGAAATGAGCACAGAATAGAGGACTCAGTGGTTTAAGAAGGTAAGTAAGAAGGTAAAAATTTCCCTTTTTTTAAAAAATTTTGTCATTTTTCTTTTATGTTGACTTTATTGTATGGAATTCCATAATCATAAAGAGTTTGGATGTGAAAAATGTTGCCACACCATAAAAATAGTTTTCTGTTTCAATTCTCAATTGTAAAATTAAAGAAAAAGACATTTAACTTACATACATAACAAATTTTGTAAAAATAAAATAAAAAAAATTATAAGGTAGTTTTTCCCTAGAGGTGAGAGCATTTTATATATATAGATAGATATAGATATAATTTCTTTATAAAGAAATGCATATATGTGCATTAATATAAATCAATTCCAGTGGAAATAATTTTTACAATTTATTAGCTATAATACATATTACTGCAACATATTTATTAACGATGTCATTTAGGAAATGAATTAAAATTTTTTGTTCAGATATTTTACACACATACATACACACACATAGATACTGTGACACTTCTTATAGAAGCTTCACAGCCTTCTGACTATATTTAGAAACACTGTATACACTTCATATTCTTCTGTAGTATCATTAATTTCTCCTCCATTTGTTATATTTGTGCTAGTTTTATACTGTATAAAACTATTATTTCACCTATTTGTTTTTAATTAATTTCTATCCCCAAACTCATTTTTAATTAGGATTTTATTATTTTAATAGTAAAGTTTTAATATTCATTACAAAAGCAGAATTTTACCTCCAAAAATAGTTCAGAATATTTAAATCTTCATTACTGTCATTTAAACGTATTTCCAGGTAATCACACACACACACACACACAGAAGGGACAGAATAGCACATACTTTTGTGCCAGCAAATTTGAAGAAAAAATCCAGCTCCACTTACTGTGTTGAACATGAGCAATTTACTCATGCTCTCAAACCCCAGTTACCTCTGCTCTCTGTTGAGGTGATGCCCTCAGACTTGCAGATGTTATCATGAGAATTAAGTGGCTAACCATCATAGCACTCAGTAGTCATTCCCATCATTTCTTCCAGAGGTTTCTCTATATTATTTTTAGCAAAGGCATTTTGATTTTCTCTCAGTTATATTCAGGGTACCACCTAACTTAGGTTTCTAACTATGAATCCCAAATATAAAAATAAATGAAACAAAGAATTAAAGAATAAAGAAGGGTAAAAATATTGACATGAAATTCTAAAACAAAATTGGAAAATTGTCACTCTTATTTTTGATAGCTCTTCTTATTAAAATTATATTATCTAGATTATAAAATGTTAACATTCTTTGTTGTTTTACTGAAGCAATTATAATATTTTTTTGTGATTTATTGCATTAAAAATAAAATACCCAGTCCCAATTTACTTCAAGATATCACCAGTAAAAATTTACTTAATGGTTTAAGTCATTCAGATAGCTGCTGTGATATTTAGATTGCTGCTCTTCTACTTACCTATTATGTGACCTTAGAAAATTACACTTGTGTAGGCTACATTTGCTTGTCTCATAATGAGATTAATAGTTGCACCTACCACCAAGGGATGTTGTGAAAAAAGAAAAATGATAAAAACCACAGAAGGTCCTTAGAATAAACACCCAATAAGTATCAGCTCATGCACCATTAATCCTAATGGGGACAAATGTTCTCGTGCATATCATCATACCAGTGTCATGACTCCCATCCGATCCATTTCCCTGGCAGGACTCCGAGGGGTGAGCTTTGGCGTTGAGTGTCCACTCGGGGGAGATGAACTGGCCAGTGAAGAAGCTGTAACGGAGGCAGTGATGGAGGTGCCTGGGTGGACTCTTGCTAAATTCAGGCCTTCCAGGCTCACACTAGCCACTCTGTTCTCGATTTCTTCAGCACGTAACTCCGTGGATTCTTTTTCTTCCTGAATTAGCCTGAAAGATACAATTTAATTTGGATCCATTATATGCTGCTAAGATGGTAACTGGAATTCACATAAATAAATAAATAGCTCTGTGAACATTTTATATCAAATCTAATGTTTTCTTTTCTCTAAGGCTATGATATAACTTTCAAAAATTCCAGAGGCTTTCTGGCTGAATATTAGAAAATCCTTCTTTTCAAGTGATATATAACTCCTCCCCACTTTCAGTCTAACCCTCTTTCTATACTACACCTGCTAAAACTTTTTTTTTCCACCTGCTAAACCTTTTAAAACCTTGCCTGCCTAGAAAATTTCTGCCACTAATCCTTTTTTTTCCCTGTCACTCATCCTAATCTTACATTTGAACTGAGGTGCCAATAAATGAGACTTCTAGAAACTCAGATCCCAACAAAGATACTGAATCTTAACTCCCACCTGATGAAACAGTATGACTGACAGAATTTTCAATGAATGGTCATTTATAATTATCATTTGGTCAAATAAAACCCTGAGATTTTTTTTTTAACAATACCTACTTAGCCAAGTCAAATTCAAAAAAGCACCAGGCAGTGTTAATAATATGGAGATGATCTATTTATAGTCAGATAGACACACACATACCTAATAAAAGAAACTGTTTTAGCTGTTGCTATAAATGCTTTTGAGAAAACAAAGCACTATTACTCATTTTTTCTTTAAGGAGAAGCTTCAAGAATATGTAGAAGGAAAGAAAGAAAGAAAGAAAGAAAGAGAAAGAAAGAAAGAAAGAAAAAAAGAAAGAAAGGAAGGAAGGAAGGAAGGAGAAAGAAAGAAAGAAAGAAAGAAAGAAAGAAAGAAAGAAAGAAAGAAAGAAAGAAAGAAAGAGAAAGAAAGAAAGAAAGAAAGAAAGAAAGAAAGAAAGAAAGAAAGAAAGAAAGAAAGAAAGAAAGAAAGAAAGAACACAAAATAGATTCCCTTTGAAATGTCCTAATGTGTTGGGGAGAGAGTCCCATATAAATCATACAAAAGGATGAAATAATAAATAAGACCATAAAAGTAAGGCACTCAAAACAGTAGCTAACTATAGATGCACAGATTAACTAACAAACAGGACAGTGGCAAATGAAGTAATTTGATCCCTTCCTTTAAGGGAGAATAAGTAAACTGAGGAAACCAGAAAAGAGGAATTTTTTTTTAATGGTTAGAATAGTTTGTGGAAGAAGAAAAATCTTAACCAGAAATAAATTCTAGTTAGTGTTAGCAGTTTTTACGAAGACATTGTCACTGTTTTTATGAAGATGCTTATTTCTTTTTTATAATGTTTTTTAATTTTAATTCTAATATAGTTTAACATACAGTGTTATATTAGTTTTAGGTGCACAATACAGTGATTCAACACTTCCATGGATATTCAGTGCTCATCATGATAAGTGTACCCTTTACTCCCCATCACCTGTTCCACCCATCCCCCTACCCTCTCCCCTCTGGTAACCATCAGTTTGTTCTCTACAGTTAAGAGTCTGTTTCTTGGTTTGCCTCCCTTTTTTCCCTTTGCCCATTTGTTTTGTTTCTTAAATTCCACATATGAGTGAGATCGTATGGTATTTGGCTTTCTCTGACTTACTTCACCTAGCATTACACTCTCTAGCTCCATCCATGTTGTTGCAAATGGCAAGATTTCATTCTTCTTCTTTTTTTTTTTTGAGAGAGAAAAAGACAGCACACACAGATGCACACACGTGAGTGAGGGGAGGTGAGGGGCAGGGGGGGATTTTTTTTATGTTGTACACCTGCAACATGTGCATTTCTTTTTTTAAAATTTTTTATTTAAATTCAATTTAATTAACATATACTGTATTAGTTTCAGAGGTAGAATTTAGTGATTCATCAGTTGCATATAACACCCAGTGCTCATTAGTTCAAGTGCCCTCCTTAATGCCCATCACCCAGTTACCCCATCCCGTCACCCACCTCTTCTCCAGCAAGAGAATCTTAAGCAGGCTCCATGCAGAGCCTGAGGCAGGGCTCAATCTCACAACCCTAAGATCATGACCTGAGCTGAAATCAAGAGTCAGATACTTAGCCAACTGAGCCATTCAGGTGCCCCAAGTTTTCATTCTATTTTAGGGCTGAATAATTTTCCATTGTATGTATATACCACTTCTTTATCCATTTATCTATCAATGAATACTTGGGCTGCTTCCATAGTCTGGTTACTGTAAATAATGCTGCAATAAACATAGGGTTGCATGAATCCCTTTGAATTAGTGTTTTGGTATTTTTTGAGTAAATACCTAGTAGTGTGATTACTGGATCTTAGGGCAGTTCTATTTTTTTTTTTTTTTTTAAGATTTTACTTATTTGTCAGAGAGAGAGAGAGCCCACAAGCAAGGGGAGAGGCAGGCAAAGGGAGAAGCAGGCTCCCTGCTGAGCAAGGAACCCAAGGTGGGACTCGATTCCAGGATCCTGGGATCATGACCTGAGCCAAAGGCAGACACTTAAACGACTGAGCCACCCTAGTTGTCTTGGGTGTCTTGGTGTCTCTTGGTGTCTTGGGTAGTTCTCTTTTTAACTTTTTGAGGAACCTCTGCACTGTTTTCCAGAGTGGCTGCACCAGTTTGCATTCCCACCAGCAGTGTAAGAGGATTCTCCTGTCTCCACATCCTCATCAACACATGCTATTTCTTGTGTTTTTGATTTTAGCCATTCTGACAGTTGTGAAGTAGTATCTCATTGTGCTTTTGATTTGCATTTCCCTGATGATTAGTGATGTTGAGCATCTTTTCATGAATCTGTTGGCCATCAGTATGTCTTCTTTGGAAAAATGTCTGTTCATGTCTTTTACCCATTTTAATTGGATTATTTATTTTTGGGGTGTTGAGTTGTATAAATTTTTTATATATTTTGAATATTAACCCTTTATTGGATATGTCATTTGCAAATATCTTCTCCCATTCCATAGGTTACCTTCTAGCTTTGTTGATTGTTTCCTTCATTGTGCAGAAGCTTTTTATTTTGATGTAGTCCCAATAGTTAATTTTTGCTTTTGCTTCCCTTGTCTCAGGAGACATATCTAGAAAAATGTTGCTACGGCTGATGTCAGAAATTACTGTCTATGCTCTCTTCTAGGATTTTTAGAGTTTCATGTCTCACATTTAGATCTTTAATCCATTTTGAATTTGTTTGCGTACGGTATAAGAAAGTGATCCAGTTTCATTCTTTTGCATGTAGCTGTCCAGTTTTCTTAACACTATTTGTTGAAGAGACTGTTTTTTTCCCATTGTATATTCTTTCCTCCTCTAAGATTAATTGACCATATACTTGTGAGTTTTTTTCTGTTTTCTATGATGTCCCATTGATCTATGTGTCTATTTTTATGCCAATACCATACTGTTTTACTAAAGGTTTGTAATATAACTTGAAGTCTGGAATTGTGATATGTTGTTTTTTCTTTTTCAAGATTGCTTTGGCTATTCAGGGTCTATCGTGGTTCCACACAAATTTTAGGATTGTTCTAATTTTGTGAAAAATATTATTGGTATTTTGATAGGGATTGCATTAAATTTGTAGATTGCTTTGGGTAGTATAGACATTTTAACAATATTTGTTCTTCTAATCCATGAACATGGAATGTCTTTGCATTTTTTTGTGTTGTTTTTTATTTCTTTCATCAACATTTAATAGTTTTCAGAGTAGAGGTCTTTCACCTCCTTGGTTAAGTTTATGCCTACATATTTCATTATTTTTTTAGTGCATTTGTAAATGGAATTGCTTCATTATTAGTGTAGAGAAATGCAACAGATTTCTGTACATTGATTTTGTATCCTGCCACCTTAATGAATTCATTTATTAGTTCTAGTAGTTTTCTGGTGGAGTCTTTAGGGTTTTTTATATACAGTATCATGTCATCTGCAATTAGTGAAAGTATTAGTTCTTCCTTACCAATCTGGACATTTTTTCTTTCTTTTTGTTGTCTAATTGCTATGGCTAGGACTTCCAGTACTATGTTGAATAACAGTGGTGAGAGTGGACATCCTTGTCTTTTTCCTGACCTTAAGGGAAAAGCTCTGTTTTTCCACTGAGTATGATACTTGTTGTGGGTTTTTCATGTAAAGTCTTTATTATGTTGAGATATTTTCCCTCTAAATCTACTTTGTTGAGGGTTTTTATCATGAATGGATATTGTACTTTGTCAAATGCTTTTTTTTCACCTATTGAAACGATCATATGGTTTTTATCCTTTTTCTTATTGATGTGATATATCACATTGATGGATTTGTGGATATTTAACCACCCTTGCATTCTGGGACTAAATCCCACTTGACTGTAGTGAATGATTTTTTTAATGTATTGTTGGATTTGGTTTGCTACTATTTTGTTGAGAATTTTTGTATCTATGTTCATCAGAGATATTGGCCTATAGTTCTCTTTTTTTGTGTGTGATGTCTTTATTTGGTTTTGGTATCAGGGTGATACTGGCCTCATAGAATGATCTGAAAGTTTTCCTTTATCTTATATTTTTTGGAATAGTTTGAAATGAATTGGTATTACCTCTTCTTCAAATGTTCAAATTTTCTATTTCTTCCTGCTTCAGTTTTAGGTTATACATTTCAGGGAATTTATCCATTTCTTCAAGTTTGTCCAATTTGTTGGCATATAATTTTTCATAATATTCTCTTACAATTGTTTGTATTCCTTTGGTGTTGCTTATTATTTCTTCTCTTTCATTTGTGATTTGTTTATATGGGCCTTTATTTTATTTTATGAGTCTAGCTAGATGTTTATCAATTTTGTTGATCTTAATGAACCAACTCCTGGTTTCATTTATCTCTTCTTTAGTTTTTGTTTGTTCATTTATTTTTAGTTTCTCTATCATTTATTTCTGCTCTAACCTTTATTATTTCCTTCCTTCTGCTGGTTTTGCATTTTGTTTGTTATTTTTCTAGCTCCTTTAGGTATATAGTTAGATTGAGATTTTTCTTGCTTCTAGCCTGCATTGTTATAAACTTTCCTCTTAGAACCACTTTTGCTGCATCCCAAAGATTTTGGACCATTGCATTTTCATTTTGATTTGTTTCCATGTAATTTTTTATTTCTTTTTGATTTTTCCATTGACTCATTTTTAAGTTTGAACCCATTCTTTAATCCTCTCCACACCACATTTTAGGTATATGATGTCATATTTTACATCCTTTTATTTTGTGAATCCCTTGACTAATTTTTACAGATATATTCTCTACCTTTAGTTGTGAAATTTGTTCTTCCAGTCTTCAGATCATTTTCTGGGTTATATTCACTTATGTGAGTGTTGTAGTTGTATCCATGGGATGAGATGAGCTTAGAGTCCTCCTACTCCACCATCTTCTCCTGCTGTCCAAGATGCCCATTTCTTTTGAATGTTGCTATATACCTGAATTATATGTAGTTCTTAATTTCTTAAAAATTAGCAACTATATTAAATACATTATTAGGGTCAGCAAGGAAACATATAAAAGGGTACCAACTTAATTAGTCTAGACCAAGAATATAACTGGGCTTTACTACCCTAAGGTAACAAAGTTGAGGTCCTAGAGGGACATGGGTTGTTACTGAGGATGTGTGTATATATTTTCGATGAAAACAAATATCACAGATACATACTTGATTTCAAATCTACTCTGTTAAATCATTAGCTCCGTAGCATCAAAAAATGTCATTCAGTTTGAATTTATGTTCTATATTATTTTTTCTATTTATACTAATCAAATATTTGTGAAACACTTTCTATTTATCAAGAAAAGTGCTAATATCTGGATATAAAAGACAGTGAGCAAAACAAGATACATTTCTTGTTCTTATATAATTTACAATCTAATGAAGGTAAGAAGGACAGTAAAATGAACTGAATGACAGAGGAAGGGATGGTGGTAAGAGTAAAGAGGGTGAAATGTTATGGGACAATGGTGTGGAATGAGGAGAATGTTCTAGAAGAAAGGAACAGCAACCACAAAGGAGAGAGCAAGGAAGATTCAAAGAACTGGAAGTCATGTATAATGGAACATGGAATCAGGTAGGTGAGAATGTGGAGGAAGGTGGGGCACTGTAGACAATATGGAGTATTTTGTTCTTTATCTTAAGAGCAAGTGAAGGGTTTGAAAAAGGGTTACTTTACCTAAGCACATTCGGTTTTAAAAAAGTCTTCTCTGGTTGCAGTGTTACTTTGGATTAGATGGGAACCCATACACCGTGAGGAAACCAGAAAGAATTATTGTCATCTACATGAGAACCTAGTACAATGTGCAAAAGGCTGATGATAGTAGAGAACTGGATAGATGTGAATTGTATTAGGAGGTAAACAGACTTAGCTAGAGCCAGAAAAACAAACAAAAAAACCCACTGTTTGAAATATTAAAAAACTGTTCATCCACTGAGAAAAAACAAGTTAAGAGTAGTTTCCCGATGTTTGAAAGACTGTAAATCCACCTGACACAGTTAGGTTCTTTACTGGGGTTAGTCAAGTTAATGGTAAGTAAAGACTACTAACATTATTGGGATTTGAGACAGTATTAAGTTAAAAATTGAAATTATCAACATTTCTCAATGTTTGAATTGATAACTTGTACAACTTCAACTCTATAATGTAATCTACTCTTTGGAAACCATCTATTATCCACTGTGGTGATAGTGCAGTTTTTTCATATCTACTATGAAATAATTCAGTCCTGGTTAATTTCACTCTGATGTCTAAATAGTTTTGAGGAGCTGGCTGCATATTAATTGCATGCTATTTAGTACCTTTATGGCAGTGTTAAATGTACCTTAAGAATGTACCTTATTACCACAAATATCATTTAAATAGTAAATTTAAATGTAAAAAGTGCTTTAAAATTCAAAGGTTCCCAGATGATGCCTGTGCTTCTGGTTTAATTATCTCATTTTTAGTATCAAGTTCTTCTAATCCTTTAAAACCATCAGTGATAATTGAACTCACCTGATTTCTTTGTTGATGGCATCCAATTGTTCCTGAAGCATCATGGCTAGAGTCTGGGCATCAGAATGACCACTTGGAGAGAGAAGATCCATTGAACTAAAAATAGTTTCTCTGTCATCATCATCAATATCAGACATTTCTGTGTCACTTTCAAAAGGGTGGCTGCTTAGCACTCCAATTTGCTGAGTTCTAGTCCACTCATGATCCCCAAGAGACTTCACCTGTGTGGTAAATGAGTCATTACCATATGTATCATATTGCTCATTATTAAAGCACTATTCTGAAAAATATCAACAAAAAGCACACATGCTTTATAGTTTACCTAGCAAAAGCAGAAGTTTTTAATAGGATTTTAATAGGAATATTGATGATCAACTTATGCATGATTTCTAGTTCAACCCCAATTCAAGTTAACAATCACTTTGAAGCATCTATGTTTGAAACATTTTTCCTTCTTTCCAAATATAACAATCTCTATTCACTGGTACTGAAGCATTTCCATCTCTTATACTAATTAGTCTTACTTACACTTTCTTATTATAGACTGAGACTGCAAATATTATCATACTAGTTATATAATAATTCTCTCCCCAACATTCATTTACATAGATTCTAACAAAGTATAATTAAAATAATATTGAAAAGTGATTTAATTTCACCTCTACTTCTCTGATCACTTAAATGCTTCATTGATTTTTTAAGCCCAAGGCACACTAGTTTACATGACTATGGTTTTTATTTGATATAATAAATCCCTCATGTGAATGAAAATCTTTTTTTGTAAGTAATCTCTATGCCCCATGTGGGGCTCCAACTCATGACCCCGAGATCAAGAGTTGCATGCTCTACTGACTAAGCCAGCCAGGTGCCCCCAAAGATAATATATCTACTGGTGTTTTTCAGGCTGTTATCTGAGGATAGGAGAGGAAGGGAAGTAAGAGAGAGAGGACCTAGATTTTTCTGCATTTTAAAAAATTGGTTTTCATTTTTGTGAAGATGTAAAATGATTTTCTGGGAGGGGGACCACATGTAAACACCACAGTATTTATTTAAGATTTGAGCACCTGAATTAGCATTTGTGTTATAAATTTTTTTGGTACCAAGTAGCACTAATTTATTTGTCATATACAAATGAGAAAAGAACTAAGATGGACTTGATTTATTCTTCATTTGTTCACTTCTTATTCATTCATTTAACAGATACTGAATGCCTACTATGAAGGATTAATTTATACATGATACAGGTACCAATTAAAAACCATAGGGTATGAAGGACCTGTACACAAGTAAGGACAATTAGGTTAGATAGTATTCAACACATGAAAGTGGTTGCAGAGAACAGCTTATACTTAGGGCACAAAGGAACTATAGGACTTTTCTATAAAATGCCGCTCTACACTTACAATATACATAGTTTATATGTAGCGAATGAATGAAGATTGGCACTGCAGTTTATCATGAAGAGTTCTCTATAAACACTTTCAATAGTCTATGTACATTTTCCTCAAAGTTTTATTAAAATAGCAATTATAATTAAAATATTTAATTAATCTTAATTAACAATATGAATACCATTGCATAAGTGCCCAACCAAACCAAGAGTCCATTTGTTTGGCAATACAGCATAAGGGATAAAAAAGCATGGAATTTGAAACCACACAAATAAAGGTACAAGTTTTGACTCTATCACACTTTGCTGGCTGTATAATGTTGAACACTTAAAACTTCTGAGCTCCAATCTTTTTATGTCTGAAGTTAGCATAAAAATAGAATCAAATTCAAAAGGTTATGTGGATACACACATGGGGAATGCTTAGTTCAACTTCTGGTACATAGCAGTGGTTTTGCATTAGTTATAGTTTTAAAAATATGTCATATGTCATGCTTGAAACTAAAAATGCTAGCAGTTGGAATTCTCTCAGTATTAAAATTCTATTCAAGATGGAGTAAGATATTTACTTAGAATCGTCAAAGACTTGAAATAAAAAAAATTAACCTTTGCCTCATCTCTTCGCACACCCATGCGGCCTCTCCTGGGTCTTCTTATTACTTTAGTTGTTCTGTAATCAGACTGGCTGTCCACTAGGGAGCCAACAGAATACCGCAACTCAGCTGAGGTGTCTAGATGAGTTCTGGAAAAAGGAAAAATACAAAAGACGACCAATCGCAGAAGTTAAACCTCCCAGCAAATCACTATCACCTGCTTAATTGTCAATAAAGAATAAAGCATAAACCCTCAAGAAAAAAGAAAAATTCAAGGAAGAAAACTGATGAATTATCATGATTCTTTGAGTCTCTTGTGAGGCTTATGTCAGAAATTCCAGTCTCAGGTTCATTCCTGAAAGTGAAGTGAATTTTCTGTTTAGAATAGAAAAAATCTGTTTGTTCATTAATTATCATTTTCAACTGTGGTAGTAAAATTAAGCATGTTAAGATGGACAACCAAGATCCATTGGCTTAAATTCTGGCAATTCTTTTTTGTTGAAGTATTTAGTATACATATCAACATGTTATTTATTGCTGTATCCCTTTATTTTTTTAACAAAATAGGATATACCACCAGATAATTTTTCAGCTTTTGTTAAGACACTGTTTCAAAAAGATAAAGAAAAATCTTTTGATAAGCACATTTGATTCTGAAATCTGCTTAGAGACGAAATAGTTGGAAAATTCCAATAGAAAAATATTATCACACTGGTTTTCAATAAACATGATAATAAAGTACACTGTCATCAAAGTGTAATAAAGGTTTCTCCAGACACATTATTTATATAGAGATTTACAACAAATTCAGTTTATTGCTATAATCATAATAACAGTGACAGCGTGCTGCCCTATAAAATGCTCTATCATCAGGACAAAATATGCTTAATGCTGTATTTTCCTCTTGAACTGGGGGTCCTGATGATCTACTATGCTCTTTCTATTATTTCTCTTTGTGGAAAAAGAAAAGGGAAAAACCAAACATTTCCAAATGATAGGCAAGATTAGAAAAGGTTAGGTAAGTTCTAGGTTTTTGCAACAGTAGAAGACACTGATCTAACTGATGCAAATCCTTGTTTTGTCAAATAGAACTTTAGAGCAAATGGACTAAGAAAACATCCCCCAAAGAGGACAGCTGTTCATTTTTATAGCGGTGAACTTGAAATTTAATCAAGCAAACTGGTTTTATTATGCATTAGTCATATATAAAAACTAATGAACCAGGTCATACTCATAAATAGGACCTCTCTCAACTTCTATAACAGGGTCTGTGTTTCATGAAGACAAAGGTCAGATTTTAGTCACCACTGTATGCTTAAGGAGGTATTCCTAGCATATAATAAACACTTGATAAATATCTGGTAAGATAATGAATGAATGAAATTAATTATTATACAGTCTAAACTGTCTACCTCAGAACATTCTAAGTACATTTTTTCTGTCACTGCCTGGGTAATATCTCTATGGTCATCAGAGTGGAGATTCTAAAATTATAACTCATCATTCTAGGAGTATTGTTTTCTCTCTCAACTCCAAGTCATTTATAAAAACGTGAACCAAAACACAGATCTGCTCCTATTGATTCACTGCTTAAAACTCTTCAATGGCCTTACAAGGCCCTCGACAATCTAGAATGCTCCTTCTTATCCCAGCTTCACTTTTAGTTACTATCTGCCTCTTCTCTCTCCAGGCATACAGACTTCCTTTCAATTTCTCGAACGACTCACACTTTCCTCTAATCCTGAGCCTTTGAACATACTGTCCTTTGAACATACTATTTCTGCTGGAAAGAGTCGTCACACCTTTATGCGGTTAACATTTTTAAAGTCTCAGATTAAAATTCCCATTGTCTTATATTATTGTAGCCCCTTGTATTCCCTCTATTTCAATTGTCCTCACAGTCTCCCTGTATTTCCCATTTGAAACATGTATTCTTCATCACCATTACCACTATATCTCCAATGCAGTTTCTTGCAAGTAGAAAGTGCATAACTGATCTTGAAAGAACAAAAGGCCTGAACCAACATCAACTTTAGAAGAGCCCATTGCTTATACTTCATCTAAAGCAGTTACTGCTCACCTCTCTCCTTTTATTCAACTCCATGAGCTACTTTACTAACAGAAATCAGAGTCAATATTTCCATACATTTCAACTTTTAAATAATTTTTGGTGTACAATATTTTGAGTCACTTGGAGGTCTAAGTTACAATATAGTCACTGGTTCCTTTAGACATGAACCCGTGCAGTTTCCCCACCTGAATCTCTTGCATAGAATCTCACCAAAGGACTTCCATAGATAAATCAAGTCTGAATTTTCTTAAAGAACATTTTTACCCATCTCTATGATTCCTGAATTGTCTTCGACTGTCCTTTCCAATGACCCAGATCCTACCTTTCTTCAGAATTGAGCCAAATCAGACCTTCTCCAGCCATTTATTATTCTCAGATGAGATACTAGTAGAGGATAGTAGTTACTGATATTCACCAACTTTAGCTCATCTCTTCCTACCTCTCTGCCTTATGATCAATGAAATTCTCATGCATCTTCTGTTTTCTTATTTCTTTTTAAATTGTGCACTCAGAAGCATGGATGTTTGATAAACAATTGCCACTCAATAAATATTGTTATAACATATTATAATTTCACCCCATCAGTTTATAATTGCTGTTCAATAAATATTGTTATCTTATACCACATTATAATTCCATCCCATCAGTTTATCTATCAATAATTCTTATAATACTTTACACTTATGATTTAGTTTACAACCCCCCCTTTGATCACTTGTTGCAAAGTAAGCTTGTGAGATAGTCATAAAAATATTATTTTATATACAATTCATGTAAAATACATATGAAATTTGAACTTATTAAGGAAAATAGGCTTTTCAAAATCAAACAGCTAGTAATTGTTTGTCTTAGACCTAGGGATGTCAGTCTTCTTATTCTTGGTCTACCTTTGTTTCTACTATAAGCTGTTGTATCAAAGAAGAATTGTTCTCTATGTACTTCCCAAGCTTCCATGATGATCCCTCATTGTGGATAAGTGTCCCATTATTAGGCTGTCCATGATGACTCACTGCAGTGATGAAATTTTAGACAATACTTCTACAACTCTATTTTTCTCCCCAGTGATATATATGTATATATTTAATTCCAGTATAATTAGTGTACAGTGTCATATTAGTTTCAGATGTACAATCTAGTGATTCAACAATTCTATATATTACTCAGTGCTCATCACAATAAGGGTACTCTCAATCCCCTTCACCTGTTTCACCCACCCCCCTACCGCCTTTCCCTCTGGTAACCAACAGTTTGTTCTCTATAGTTAAAAGTCTGTTTTTTTGTTTGTCTCTCTCCTCATGCCCCAGGAACCCCCTTTTTTAAATACAACTCTGTACTTCTGAGACCAAAGGTCAAAAAGCTAACAAAATGGCCATTTGGCTCTATTAAAAATATTAAATTTGTTGACTGGATGATGCTCATTCTATGTATTTACTCTGTTGATATTTTTTATCAGCTCTTGCCCTTCATCAACACCATCATTGTCATCATCACCACCTTGTGAATATATACCACTGAATTAAAAAAATAGCTTCAGTTCAGATACACAAATCATAACAAAGCATTTAGACAAATAAACAAGATTTTCTAAATTAAAGACCTACACTTTTAAAAGTTCTTTGGGTGTTTTTGTGCCTGCAGAACTGTGTTTCTTATATTAAACTGAAGGTAGAAATACTCAAAATGCTGTTTTATTTTTGTTAATACTTTACATTATTACTCTTATTAATACTTACATTAAAGAGGATATAAGCACCTTTTGAATTTTTTTAACTTGGATTTTTCCTCTGAGTATCTGAAAAATGCTTTATTAGATATTCATTCATTCGGTGATATCTATTATGAGTATAATATACCAATGTTTGTTTGTTTATTTGTTTGTTTTAGGTGCTGAGATTATAGTAACCAAAACAAACAAAAATTCCAGCCTCTGTGGAGCTAACATTCTTAGGATAAGTATAAGAGCAAGAAAAATGAACTTCTAAAAGTCTGTGGTATTCAAAAGTTTCAGATAGTTGATATAATTGTGCTGTCAAATAAATGATCAAATAAGTAAATCTTTGTAGGGTTTCTTATTAACCTTAAATAAAAGGCCCTAGCACAAAAGAAAATTATATGTGAATTATCAAGATTGAGCTATCTATCTAGAGAGTAAATAATCATGTCATTGCTTCTTTCTTTCAAGATGAGGTATTGAGTCAATGTAGATGAGTATGGCTAAACGTATTTGTTTTTAAAACATGTATAATTTCTCCTTCACTCTGAATCTGCAATTAATTTAAAAAAAGAGGTAGGTGTTAAGGGACCATAATTAATGATATTTCTTCAGTAACATTAAGCACTGAAAACATTTCTGCATGTAGAGGAAAGAGGTGTTGCTGCTTCCTAGAATGAGATGTAATCTCCTTATATACAGTTCCATTTCTTCATTTAAGACTCTTTTTATGTATTTATAGCTATGTAATTAAATGGAGAATACAAAAGGTAATAATTTAAATTTTTATTGCATATTTGCAGAATAGATTACTAAATTAGAGAATGATTTTTGAATATAGAAACAGTAAATCAGTCAGGAGTGAACATAGGGCAATGCTTGCTGAGCAATAAGAGGTACTTATTTATTTTATTTGAGGCAATATGAAATCATAAAAAATTCATATTGATTTTTGGTGAGCTATAGATAAGATTTTAATTTACTGTTACCTTGATATTGTGGGTTCAATTAAAGAGCCAGTTCTCATTTTCAATTGGTCAAGTTCAGATCTCAGCTTTTCAATTTCTTCTGCTAATCTTTCCTAAAAATCAAAGAAGTTTTACTCAGAAGATATGTAAATGCCAATAATACCAACATTCAATTATGATAAACCAAGCTACCAAGCTTAATGGCTTTTTAAAAATGCAAAACTGATGGATATAGTTTTATTAAAGATAATAATCTTGACAGTAAAATATGCCTAATTTTTCCCTTGTAATGAAATGTGAATAGCAGAAATCAATAAAAAAATTATCTATATTGTCTGGCATTCATTAATCCTAAATTTTTGCAAACATATGGGAATCCTAAGATTATGACTAGCTATGTATACATCACTTCAAAATGCAGAGTCATAATCATAGCCAGTTAAAAAATAAAGAAAAGGTCTTATTTATGCAGTAAGTGAAGGACTTTGATTATTCTATAAGCGTTGTAGTACACATGGATGAAGAAAAAGAAGAATGGATTAAAAAGATGAGGAAAAAAATCATTACCTATTATAAGTTAAAATTATCAGTTTGATATTCATAGAATTATTTGTGCATCTGAAAATTTTCTCAGATTGGTATTACACTTTCAGTTTGTAGATTTTTTAAGATAAGGGTTGTCTTATAGTCCTTAATTAAATGCTTATGTAAGCATTTAATTTTGTTTTCATGATTATAACTTTTATAATGTTATAAAAGTTTAAATGTATCTTTCTGGATTTTCTATTGCTGTTTTATTTCCTGTCCCACCAGCCAATGCTTGACATTTTACTTGAATCATACTTCACTTCTCACTATACATTTTTGTCAATGTGGCTTTCCCAGTATTTCTCTCATTTGCCCTTTTTATTCTTAGTACCATCATTCTACTTAATACATTTTTTACTTTTTTCCTGCATTATTTCACCAGCTTCCACAGAAGTGGTGCTGTCTTCAATCTCTTCTCTACACAGTCTTCTGCTAGTTGTATCATTTTATTTTTTTAATTAAAAAATTATTTATTTTAGAGAGAGAGAGAGTGAGCATGAGCACGAGGGGGAGAGGGAGAGAGAATCTCAAGCAGACTGCGAGCTAAGTGTGGAGCCGATGTGGGGCCTGATCTCAGGACCCTGAGGTCATGACCTGAGCTAAAACCAAGAGTCAGACGCTTAACTGACTGCGCCACCTAGGTGCCCCTAGTTGTATCATTTTAAAAAACACATACGATCAAATAAATTATTTGCCTAAAATATTCAATGGTTTCTTACTGCATTTATTAATCCTTTTGTTTGTTATTTCCACAAATATGCATAGAGCATCTCTGTTGTGCTACACACTATGATAAAGTAGCAAAATAAAAAATTCCCTGCCCTCACATAATTTATAATCTAGTAAAAAAGATAATAAACAGAGTCTATAGGATGTTGGTAGGAAAAAGAAAATAAAAGGGTCATGGAAGGGCTCTCAAATAAAGTGTTATTTGAGCAAAGACCTAAAGGAAGGGAGTTTAAAAAAATGGGAATGTCTCAGGAAAAGGCATAGCAGCTGCAAATGTCCCTTATTGGGAGGGGAGTATATTTGTTGAAAGAGTAGGCAAGGAGGTCACTGTGGCAGAACTGGACAGGTTAAAGAGAAAGACAGATAGGGAATAGATTGAGAAAAGTGTGGTTGTAGGGCTTGGGAAGGGTAGTCCCGAAAGCCTTGTCAACCATTTTGAAGTCTTTGGTTTTTACTCTGAGTGGACACCAAATGACTAGAGGATTTTTGAGTAGAGAGGTGACATGATCATTCTAAGAGCAGTGAAATGGACCATTGAATAAGACTGGGAGGGAGGGAAGAAATAAAATTATTCCTGTTCTTCCAAAAATCTAGGCAAGAGAATTGTGGCCTGGATAATAATGGTGTTAGAGAGAATGGCTGGATTTTGGTTATACCTTGATGACAGAACTAACAAATTTGCTATTGGACTGAATGTGGGGTGGGAGATTAAGAAAGGGGTCAAGAATGACTCCAAGGTTAACCTGAGTAAAAGAAAGAGTTGTGATTTACTGAGAAGATGAGAAGATGGCTGCTGGTGGTAGTTTAGACTGGTGGTGCTGGCGTTTGGGGTGGAGGGATTGCCTTGTAATGTTTGAGGTGCCAAAGTGTCCAAATAAAGATACTGAGTTGGCTCTTGAACGCATGAACTCTCTCAGCAGAGAGGACCCAGTAGGTGATCTAAATTTGGAAATGCTCGGTTTATAGATGATATTTAAATCCATGAGATCAGATGAGACTGAACTCAGGGACTGAATATGGAGAAGAAATTCAAAAACCAGTCCTAAGAATTTCATATTTTAGAGATCAACATGATGAGGAGAAACAATAAGAAGAGGTTGAATATACAGGAGATTTTGCCAATGATGGACAGTCAGTTATAGATTATTGAGTCAAAATCTGAGAAGTTATAGGAGATGTAGTTAGGTTAGGAAATATGTTCAGCTGTATGGGATGATATTCAGAAATGAGGTATGACCTGGTATTTGCCTCCTCTAGTTACTAGCATGAACAAGGGTGCAAAGCATGGAATGTTTAGTTCTGCTGGTTGCTTAGGCAGATTGTTGAAGCTACAAGGCTTGGGTAGGTGGTGGGGGAGTGGGTTCTGGGGATCTTGCCAGGAGCACACAGAGCTCTGGATAACATAACATTACATAACAGCATCGAGTCCAGAATCCACAATCTGGTCACAACCTAGTTCTTTAAACACATACCAGTCACAGCAAACTTCTGGTGATTCAGCAAATCAACCATCTTTGTTTTCTTTGTGCTATCACATAGGCTCTGTCTTCTGCCCTACCCCTCTCTATTTGATAAGATCTTATATGCCTTCAAGAACCTGATGAAATGGCAACTCCCCTGTGTAGACTTTCTTAACTTCAGAAAGAATTAGATGCCGTCTTCTGGGCACCATATTGTATTGCTATAGCAGACCTCTCTTGCAGGAGATCTTATATACTCTGACTGTGGGACCAACCAGCTTTAAATTAACATCATAATAGTTAACATTCAGTGGGGCTAAATGTACAATTGCTTTTTTTTTTTTAATTTTTATTCTCTCATCTTTTCCAGTACTTTCCCTATGCCATACTATTGCCAGATCTTCCCTCTGTCCCTCCCTCCCTTCCCTCCTTTGCTCCCACTCTCTCTCCTTTTTCTTTTGTTCAACACACATGTATAGGTCACTTCTTAAATTAGTGATTTTATGTTATGTTATATGCTTATGCCAAACAAAATGAAATCCGACAAAATTGCTCACAGGAATTTACAGGCTAATGAAGGAGGAAAAGACATATTAGCAATTACAGCTTTTAACATTTCATAATTTAGTCCTTACCTTCCTCTTCTACCATAGGAATAACTGATTTTAGCCAAAATTGTTATGCCCATTATTATTTAAGATATCAGACTCCCTACCTCACCCCCTCCCCACACGAAGCACCTGCAATCATGCCACCTGCACTGTATTTGAAAGCTTGCAACATAGTCCTACCATTCCTTAAAATTTTGTCAACTCACACCTTCCTGAAGCCTTCTTTATAGCTGCAACGTATGGTGATCTCTCCCCCCTGTAGCTTTTACTATTTCACTCATTTGACACTTGGCGTCTGCAACTCGCTGTTTTGTCAAAGGCGTGTTCTCTCTCCTCAATTACATTTTTCAGCTACTTTGGAATTAGGATCATGTTTGCAAATACACAGCATAATTTATTATGCATAATAGATATTTAATGCATCTCTACCAAAATGATAACCTCAAACTAAACACAAATTAGTGCATACATTTTTATTCCATTTGTATAAAGCACAAAAAGTCAAAAGCATTTTTTTTTCTGTTAGAAGTCAAGACAGTGATTATCATTTAGGATAAAAGTAGTAATTGTATGTTAACAAGAGGGAGCTACCATAGTGTTGATTTTTAGTGTGTTTTGTATGTAAAAATTCATCAAGCTCTTTCTATATATGCATACTTTTCTGTATGTATAATATAAAAGTTAAAATTTTTAAAAAGATAACATCCTAAACTTATTTCTTATCAAATTTATTTCACAGCAAAACATTCATCAGTGTAAAATAGAAAAATGGATAAAATGTAAGTTTCCATTATACCTTATCATGTAAAGATTCTTCCAGATTCTTTCTGAAAGCTTCTGATTCTTGAATTAAAACATTCTAAAGAAAATAAAAAAATAAAGAATTAATTAACAAAACAGAAAATAATTAAATATGTAGATTAATTTTTTTATTGCTCAAGAATCTTCTTTGATTCCTTCCTTGGTGTATCTATTTCTTGGTTTCCGTGGAAACCAAATTTAAATAGAATCTTTAAACATGATACCTTAACATTTAGAAAAATACATAATTTAAATGGGAAATGTTATTTTATAACACTTGGATTGACGAAGGGAATAAACATTATCTTTTAAGTTATTTATGTTTTCCTCTTCTCAGTCTTTTAAAATTTGAAATAATAAGGTTACTCTTAAAATGAGAAGAAGTGAGTAACAGTGAAATATTAGCCAAAGGTGTTATAGATAAAGAATTCAGATGAACTCATTTTTATTACCTGAAGAAAAAAATAAAAGATCAGATCATATTTTTGAAAAGTTTAATTTCTGGACTTTGATTTCAAATACAGAATAATTAATTTCTAATAATGGCTAAATTATTAGAGAAATAAAAATGAAATTTTAACTATTTACAAAACTCTTACATCTCATGACATATGAAAATAAGTTGTATCATAGGTATATTTTTTTAAATTTTGTCATGAACATATTACTGTTGTAAAAGCTTTATACTTTTTTATATTTACTACAAAGCATGACTTAAAATAATGTATTCTTTTCTAATTTAATTTTAGTAAAATTAAACTAAGTGTGTAGCAATCGGCAAAATGGTCATGCGTTTGGAATTGAATGGGAAGAAGGCCCGCCTTATCACTTTGTAATGGGTAAATTAATCAGCCTACTTTAACAATTTCATGCAAACATTTTTCCTATGTTGTATGGATCAGGGGAAAATGTCTAGCTTAAGTAATGATGGGTATTCAATCTAAATTTCCAAAATGATTTGTCTACCTGGGTTTTAGCCCCTACCTTTGTTTATACTCTGGAATTGGCAACCAGCTCACATAACTTGTGCTGGTCTGGTGGCTGCCAACTATCAATGAGACATATAAAATTGTGAATGATATTGCACACTGTAAAGAAGCACTTTTTTTTTTTGAAACAATGCCGCTGAAATGATTGCATTCCTAAACTCTGTACTGGGATTAACGCTAGTTCTACTGGTAATATAAATTTACTCACATTCTGGCTTTTAGAGTAGTTGTAGATTTAGTTACTTGAAACATTTGATTAGTTCAATGCAAGGAGACTTCCCACATACCCCAAAATATTGATTTTTGTCTTATCACTCTTTTTTGCACACCAGGTGAAGGATAACTAAAATATTTTCATCACAAAACACATTTTAATGCATTTATCTATATGATTATGCTAATAAGCATTTGTTATTCATTTAAAAAATTTATCTTACACATGTTTACAGAACTACTTGTTCACTTCTAAGAATAAACCACATACACCTAAGGAAAATACATGGATGGTCTGATCAGGGCAGTAAATGCAGCAGGGTATAAAACAACCATGATCATGAGCACACTGCTAAATATTCATGCGAGTCTACTCTCCTGTCATTTTACCTTCTCTTCTAGAGCAGCCATTCTCTCCTTTAAATGTAGCTGTAAGCGCTCATTGGATTCAGTCAGAAGTCTGTCCACAGTATCAGACAATCTTTTGTTGTGCTCCTCATTCATTTTCTCTCTTTGCCTAGCCTTACATTCAAGACAAAATAAATAAACTTGACATAAAAGTCATTTACACAAGTATTTTATATTTTTCTGGCTTTAAAACTGATTTCATTTTATGTCTGGTGTGATTAAATTGGCAGAAACTTTTTTCCTTTTAGATGCAGAAAGCATATTCATAAGATTGTAAATAGAACCCATAATCAAGAAATACAGTCATTTCTTACATGCCCATAAACTGATGATCGAGGGGAGTGGTACTTAATATACATACTCTTTGAAGTTCTTGATTTTTCTCTTCAAGTTGACCTTCTAGATGTCTCATACGTTCTTCAATGTTTCCATGTCTCTCTTCGGCCTGTTGAGAAATATGAAAAATGTACCTGACATGTAAGATTTGGTTAACACTTTTCCTCTAAATAAATTGAAATAAAATGTAAAGCAAGCTACTACCAACCGCAAATGTAATTTTCAAAAAATAAACTTTCTTTAAACAGGCAGCTGAACAGCATTGCTTGAAATGTGTCAGCTACAAAGGCCTGTTACATCCAAGCATCAGCAAAACATTGGACTTATTTATGAGCAATGAAATCAGCCAAATGTAACATGCAGACTGTGCATGGTTTGAACACAAACCTGCCATTGTCCAATCTTAAGCTCCTGAAGCACTGAACTGCACAGATGGTTGATTATCAATAAATAAAAGTAACATAATTTTTATAAATGAAAAGAAAAACTTAGATGGATTCTATTTAGCAATAGAAAGTAAAGTCCAGTAGGACTACCTTCCTACGTATGGAGATCATTTCTTGTAGTTTAGCTTCCATAACATATTGATAATCATCAGATGAGGTAGAAGAGGTTGGATCAGACTAACAAGTCAAGGAAAAGGAGAGGGACAAAATTGAAAAATCAGAACTAAAGACACTGACACTGAACAGAACATAGCACAGAATGCTTAAAAGAAAAATGTGACAACAGATTTAATACTTTAATATGACGGAATTTTATATGAAAAGAGCTACACTGGTATCTGGTGAACATGATGCAGTCAATGGTTATAAATGGAAAACAATGATATGCCCAAATAAAAGGCTACCAACCTAAGGTATGGAAGGTTAGTGATGGCAATGAAAGACTACTACAGAATGAATTAAAGCAACTCTGAAAGAGTCATGTAAAAATTGGAATTATGGGAAACCAAACACTAGAATATGTCTCTGATAGATTGTTAAAAGTTTTGTATTTTGGCTTGTTTATCATATTACTTAAGAATAATGGAAACAATGTATCTCAGTGTTGAAGTGTATGCTAAGGCAATGACCCGGGTGAAATAAATTTGTAAGAAAATTTATTACAAACCTAACACTGTAGAAATCAAGAAAAAGCTAAGCCAGGGGAAATCATTATTATGGGTGTTCTCCAGTTTAAGGAGGATTGAGTTTCCTCAGCAACAGCAACAAACTTACAAAATGACTTCTTGTCTCTGAACACACAGTATGACTCTAGGTCTAGAACCTTAGCACCTGTTCTCAGATATAGCCTTAATTTGAAATTTTAAATGAAAGTGATTAAAAGTCCTCAAATTACCAAGATGACAATATACTGTGAGGACAAGAGAACTTATTTAGGAACTCTCCTGAATGACACTAGGAACCACTCCCAAACTGTTTCTGTGTTATTTGTTGCTATGGAAACAAAATAGTGCCCTAACGTGAGCAGGCAGCATGGTGCCTGGGTGAGCTAGTATTTGCCCCGCGCCAGGGTTAGTTACATGTCTTGGAGGTGACGGTCAGGTTACCAAAGACACAGAGTGTTAACACATGTGACACTGCTGATAGCTGAATTGTATTAGTATGTTATGCACAGATTACATGTAAAGTCAAAGCAACATTTTAATCATAATTACAAGTTAAGTAATTATAACATCAAAATTATCCTATGTCAGATCTAGAAGATTGAACTCCAGAGCATATTCTATTATATTTTATAAGTTTATTCTAAAACAGTGAAACTTACTTTATGCAAATATAGGACTATATATAAATATGGCATGCAGTACCTGAAAAGAAATAGTAGCCTATTCATGTATTGGCTCATATGCATATGTACTATTTTATGCAACAAATTCCAACTAATCTACAAAATAAAGTTTTATCATTTAACTGGTGTACTTATACAAATTACAATTCAACATTTACATTTTGTAAGATTTTCCTTTTGACAGTCTTGTTTCATAAATGGGAAAGTAATGAAGAAATAACAAATGACCGATTTGTCTCTCCAAATTTCCAAGCAAAAGAAACACAGAAAGCTACCATAGTTCCCAAATGCCATAAAATGATTTTCTAATATCACTTAAAACCTAGAATTCAAATAAGAATACAGTAAATGGGACAAAATGTTGTTGAAATTAAATAATCTAAATTCATTAAGATATCTGTAATCTTTCAAAAGTACATTTTAACAGGCAGTTGGTGGTATAAAAATTAATCAGGTGACTGATTCAACATAGTCAACGCATGAACATTTCAATTTCCAAAACTGTCTCTTCAAAAGTTTTCATCCTAACTACTGAAAACATACTAAACATTGTGAAAATTCACTTCAGAGATTGAACAAGAATTCTGTCAAGTTTAAATTACTTTGTTACTGTTGGTATTTTTATTGGTACTAAAAATGAATGAAATACCTTATGGAATTCAAGATGAATTATGTCCTTGCTGAGGGAATATGCATTTTAATTAAAGAAGTAAACATCATAAATAAAAAAACTGGGAGCCTAAAGTCTTTATTGGTTAATTTTGTGTATACTTGCCAAAGCCAAATTATACCTTTTATCCATAGCCATTAATCAATACTTCTGACTTTCTAAGCCTTAAATGAGCTTTACCTACCTATCTACAAACACACACATACACAAAACATAATCTTGTCAGAGAATAAATTCAGACATCATTTCTATACAAAAACTGGTATCAATTTTTAACTACTATTGATTTATGTTCATCTTAGCTTTGTGAAGACTGCAGTTTAAGTAATTAATGTAAATACAAGAACAATCTGCTATTTTTTGTATTTCTTGATGGGATATAGAGTTTATCTTGATTTCACTCTTTAATGTGATACAGGAATATTTCAAATGAGTTAAAGTTTTAGAGGCAATTACACATAGAAGTGGCTTTGAGAAAAGCATGAGTATATTTAGAAATGGAAAAGAAATAAAAGTTAAAAGAGGGGAGGACCAAAGAGAAGAAAAAAGAACAGGTAGCAGATAATAAAAGCAGAAAAAAATATATAGGCCAAATAAAATGTCTGAAAATTATTTAGGATGTCATTCATAATATAGGAGAGGGAAGCTTAGCTTTAAGCTAAGCAGAATCTTTTTGCTTTAGTGTCAAAAATATTAAGAAGTAGAAAAAAATTATGATGATCCATAATAGTGATATACTAAAAATGTAACTGGCAGTGAAAAAATAAATAAGTAAAGCAGGTTCTAGAGGCAGTCCCTAAAGGCCTGTGAACTGAGAAGAAAAAGTGCAAGATCATTATAGTCATAAAACTTGGGAAAACAAATGAAAGAGTAACATTTCAATAAAAATGTTATAAGCAGAGGGAGTGTGTTGAGGATGAAACCTCATCATTGACAAATGTGAATTAAATATATCAATAATCTAGAAACTCTATAGTTGAAATAATGGTGTTTATATTACATAGAGTCAGCCTGAAGAGAAAGTGGTAAAAAAGAGAAGCAGAGTGAAGGATAAAACTCTACTGAAAAAGGAGAAAATCGAAAGGATTCAGATGAAGTGAAATTTTAGCAACATCTTATGAGGTAGAAGTAAACTGAGGAAATTATTTTGGGTACACGAATGAATATATGAATCAAAAATAAATAAATAAGTGAATAAATAAATAAGAGCCCCAGAGAAAAATGGAGGGCAGAAAAGATAAGGCACATATTTCAAGTTATTTCTTTTTAATTTTTTTATTATGTTATGTTAATCACCATACATTACACCATTAGTTTTTGATGTAGTGTTCCATGATTCATTGTTATATTCTAAGTTAAGGAATCTTAGGCATGTATAATTTGAAGCCTTGTAAGTCAAGTATTAATGTTTTATTTTTTTTTAAAGATTTTATTTATTTATTTGACGGAGAGACACAGCGAGAGAGAGGGAACACAAGCAGGGGGATTGGGAGAGAGAGAAGCAGGCTTCCCGCCGAGCAGGGAGCCCGATGCAGGGCTAGTTCCCAGGACCCTGGGATCATAACCTGAGCCGAAGGCAGATGCTTAATGACTGAGCCACCCAGGTGCCCCAAGTATTAATGTTTTAAAGTATGTTTCATCCTCAGTCTATCAGAGGTTAGTTTGGAGCAATTATTTGGTGAATTTTAAATTGTGTTACTTTGAGAGAGATTCCAGATTTTCTTGTATTTTACTCTGGATAATATGATTATTTTACACTAAAATTTTACAAGAGCTATTTTTATTATTAGCCACTCACCAAGCCCCTGAAAAGAGTTCAATAACTCTTTATAGAAGTTCATGTTCCTCAAATGGAAAGCCTAAGTGTGTGTGTGTGTGTGTGTGTGTGTGTGTGTGTGTGTGTGTGTGTACATCCACACATGAGTAATTTAAAATGTGCTTTCCAAAAAAATAGAATACTACTACTATATTTGCACATTTTTATATAATTTAGAGACTATTTCTCAAATTAAATGATAAATTTATCTTCATCTTATAAATCACACATCTCTCAAATTGCCAGAAGGGTTTATGGTATGTCTATGACTACAGAAGGATACAGATTGTAACATTACCCTAATCACACTAATATTTTATTCAGCTAGTTATTCCAATACTCTGTAGACAACCAACTATTCCAATACTTCCTAAACCCTGCTCTGCTTTGCAAATGTTTGCCTTTTCACTACCTGATTAATTACCCTATTTTAATCAGGAGGCATCAGTCTACTGTTCCTCTTTAATCATTTACTTTTTCAGGAAAGTAAACATGTGTACCTGCTTTTATATTGCTAATATCAATTGTATTGGATAATCCTGAATGCCAGAATTTGTAACTTGCAGTTCACATATCTGTCTTACCCATCTATTATAGTGGGACGGAAAACTTAGCACATAGCAAAGAGTGCATGAATATCTAAAATGTGTGAAAATTTGGGGGCACCTGGGTAGCTCAGTCAGTTAAGTGGCCAGCTCTTGGTTTTGGCTCAGATCATGATCTCATGGTCTTGAGATTGAGCCCCATGTCAGGCTCTATGCTAAACTGAACATGGAGCCTAGGATTCGCTCTCTTCTTCCTGTGCCCCTCACCCCTGCTCTCTCTCTCTCAAATAAATAAATAACAATTTTTAAAATGTCTGTACATTTTTGAACTGATATTAAAAGTAAAACATGCTTTTAGTGAGCAAATCTAAACTTGCATTGTAGTGATATAGACATACACTTGGAAGCAATGTCCATTTCCATTTGACTGTGAAAGGTCAGAATAGTCATTTTAACATTATAATGGTTGCAAAATTCTAAAATATGCAGACAATTGCAGACTCTAACAGCCATAACATGGCAAATAATTTTGAACATCCCTCAGATTATTTTTGAATTTAATTGGTTCAGGAGAAATTGTAACTATTAAAATCACCTTCTGACTAATGACTTTAGAATTTAGACTTCTACAAATCTAACCTCCAATTTCTAACAAATTTTTTCATACTCTAGTCAGAATGCAATCAACTGCTTATGATATTTCCTACGTTTTTAATGCCAATTTATATTAAGCTTATTCAATTATCATGGCTTATCTATATACATATTAAATATCGTTATTTATTTATATTTGGTGATTATTCTAATGTGCAAATATTATCATGGAAAATTAACTATAACGATGTGAAATTTTGTATTTACTACTGTTTAAATAGGCAGAGGTATCATCACATGCACATGTATATCACTCATGGTAGCGTTAAATAAGATATATAATATGAAACATTCATCGAATCAACAAAACCAATATGGTAGATTAAATAAACTTAAATTTAATAAAACCTAAAGAAAATCTATAGATTCCATTTGGTTTACTAGTCATTTCTATAAGTATATCTAGGTTGACTGTCTTATCGCAGTACCTTTGTCAAGGCTGCAATTCTCTGAGCCAGTTCAGCCTCTACTTCAGGTAAGGTCTCAGCTTTTCTCATAGTCTGCTGCAACTTTTGCTCAGCCAGCTCAAGACGCTCTTGTAACTGTCTGTTTTTCTCTTCCATCTGAAATAGGGATGGAAAAAGAGACGCTTACAGAGTCACTGTGAGGATAACAAACACCAGCCCCTAGGGGCTTTGGGTTTCAGCCATTATTCTAGACTTAAAATCAGCCAGTACTACCATACCTGCTATGCAAAGGGATGATTGTATTCGTATTTTCATATCTTACTTAAGCACATTCCTAATAAAATTTAGCACATTAAAAAATAGAAAAGCTCTTACCAATGGCAGCAAAAAGAAAAAAAAAGTTACTAGTGAGTATAAACCTGGACAAATGGATTATAACTCAATACTAAGACTTCAGATGTACCATGACAGCATAATATTGAAAATTATAGTATTAACCGGAGTGAGAGAGGGAATGTAGTACAATGGTTAAGGGTCCAGGCTCTAGAGATAGGTTTGACAAAACTTTTTTCTCTGAAAGACCAGAAAATAAATATTTTAGGCTTTGTGTATTATATAGTCTCTGTTCCAACTACTCAGTTCTACTATTGCAGCACAAAATCAGTCACAGACTGCTAAATAAATGGCTATGGTTTATTTGTAAAACAGAGCCATAGTTTCGGCACACGGGCCATAGTCTGTCCACTCCTGCTCTAGAGTCAAATAGACTTAGGCCTCTGTTAATGACTGGCAATTACCAGATGTGTGACCTTGGAAAAGGTTTCATGTCTCTGAACCTTAGTGCCTCAGTATAATTGTGCTTACTTCACAGGTGATGATTAGATTTAAGTGAGGTAATACATGTTAACTGTTTAGCAGTTTCTGGCTCATGTCTAGATCCAAAGTAAATGTTAAAAGTAATTATTTTTATAATTATTAAGACAAATTTATAAATTATATGCTGAAAATCACATCTGTCTAGTCAGTTTTATTCTAAATTTTAGACAATGGTTTGATTGCCAATACCATATTTTATTTACTCCATGTTTTGTGAGAATGATTAGAATGCACATGGGCCAGAACAAAACCAAGATAGAGATACTCAACCTGCCGTAGGATGGCCTCTTTATTTGCTAACTCATTTTCTAGTTTATCATTCATGTCATGTATGGAGGTAGATTCTCTCTGAGCACTGAGGTAACGCTTCTCAAGGGTTGTGATTCTTTCTTCCATATCTTCCTTCTGTGCCATGGCCTACAATTAAAATAAGAAATTAATTAAAATCAGATTCTCAGATAGTTTAATGTACTGTCTTGTTATTTAAATAAAATAGCAAGATTTAAAAGCTATTGTTTTTTTGAAGTAATATTCATTCCTTTCTTTTCAAGGAAGGTATGCAAGATTTCTTGTGAATTTCCCCAATTTATCGTCAGAATTCTTACATCTTGGGTTAATGAAGTTTACCTCTCTGAGAATGCAGTGGAGTACATGAAACTACCTATTGTAGAACTGGCATTCTTAGAAAAGAAGTGACAGCTAAATTAGCTTGTTATATAGTAAAGATAAGTACAATTATGGGTAGAGTTGTAAACCATAAAGGTGAAATGGTGGCTACTGTTCCAAAATGCATAGCAATCTTTAAGGATAACCAATATCATCAGTATTTTCAACTTCAGATATAAGTAAAAGTAACTCAACAGTTAAAAAAAGAGGCCAAAAAAAAAAAAAAGTAAATTTGCGTCATATTCACAAATGAATCGACCAACTGACTTTGGAACTTAACCGTTTTCCTTGTCATATATATTCTAAATAAAAAAAGAATTTAAAGAACTCAATGAACACAAAACTCTAGGGAAAAATAAACTATCAGTTCAAATGGAGAAAACCTTGGCATTAATGATATTCTTTTTTTTTTTTTAAAAGATTTTATTTATTTATTTCAGAGAGAGAGAGAATGAGAGACAGAAAGCACGAGGGGGAAGGGGGTCAGAGGGAGAAGCAGACTCCCCGCCGAGCAGGGAGCCCGATGTGGGACTCGATCCCGGGACTCCAGGATCATGACCTGAGCCGAAGGCAGTCGCTTAACCAACTGAGCCACCCAGGCACCCGCATTAATGATATTCTAAACAATAATTTTTAAACCATCTAAATTCAAAGATAATATGGAGATAATCTTATCTTCCTAACAGCTTACATGAAAATTTATTAGTAGGTGGATAACCTACTTTTTAAAAAAGATATTAATTTTTTTTTTAGTACATCCCAGAAAAAGCACCTTTACTAAACAGAAAACAAAACATTTGTCAGGAATCTGACCAAATACACAAAGCAGCAGGGTAAGATTCCTGAGAGAAAAGAGAGACTCCCAATGGAACATAAATAGATCCCCCTCAAAGTACATAATATTTCACAGGAGTGTGTACATATATATGTAATATGTCAAAAGAAATTTGGTTTCTACCCCAAGAAGTTATTCAGAAATAATAAATCAATCTCTTATCTGAGAATGGGGAAGTGCAGAGGCTTCAGCCACGTTACTAAGCCGGCGTGCACCCCGCTCCCGCACACACTTCCCCTCTCTACACAATACACTTGCTGGGAGGGTGCTGAGGCGGGCCCTTCTCTCTGCCCCAGCCCCTAGCCCCAGCAGATCCAGTGTTTGTAGAAGAGCGAACCAGGGGAGGCAGGTCTCTGTGGGGCCCCCAGAGCCCAGGAGCCGGCAGTAGGCAAGTGGCCGAAGCCCGAGGCCACCTGCCCCCTGCCTGGAAGGGGACCTTGGCCCTGGGGTAAAAGGGAATTGCTTGGGACCCCCAGGAATGGCGTGGCCACACTCCTTGTTTCCAGCAGCAATCCTCATTCTGGGGTCTCCCCAAGGTCCACAAGCTCTTTGTAGTTTGGCCAGTCTGGACTTCTCCTATGGCTTTTGGGAAGAGGGCACAGAGTTTCCAGAGCCACGAGGGCTTGGCCATGTGAACCTGTGTGTTTGCACACATGCACATACACGCACGCATGCTTTAAGAGAGGTCGACAAGTTGAAACGAGTGTTCTGTGTGTTTGCACACATGCACATACACACACGCGTGTGTATGTGTGTTTGCACACACGAGTGTTCTGTGTGTTTGCACACGTGCACATACACACACGCGTGCTTTAAGAGAGGTCGACAAGTTGAAACGAGTGTTCTGCCATGACACGCCCAAATAGTGGTCAGAAGTGAGTGACATGCCTCTGTGGTCAGAAGTGAGCTTCATGGAAAAACTGAGAGTTTTTCCTGAAGGTCAGGAACATGACAGGGATGCCCACCTCACCACTTTTGTTCAACATAGTACTAGAAGTTTGAGCCTCAGCAATCAGACAACAAAAAGAAATAAAATGTATTCAAATTGGCAAAGAAGAAGTCAAACTCTCACTCTTCCCAAATGACATACTTTAAGTGGAAAACCCCAAAGACTTCACCCCAAAATTGCTAGCACTCATACAGCAATTCAGCAACATGGCAGGATATAAAATCAATGCAGAGAAATCAGTGGCATTTCTATACACTAACAATGAGACAGAAGAAAGAGAAATTAAGGAATCGATGCCATTTACAGTTGCACCAAAAACCATAAGATACGTAGGAATAAACCTAACCAAAGAGGCAAAGGATCTGTACTCTAAAAACTACAGAACACTTATTAAAGAAATTGAGGAAGAGGCAAAAAAATGGAAAAACATTCCATGCTCATGGGTTGGAAGAATAAATATTGTGAAAATGTGTATGCTACCCAGAGCAATCTATACAATTCAGTGCAATCCTTATCAAAATACCATCGAAATTTTTACAGAGCTGGAACAAATAATCCTAAAATTTGTATGGAACTAGAAAAAACCCCGAATAGCCAGAGGAATGTTGAAAAAGAAAACCAAAACTGGTGGCATCACAATTTCGGACTTCAAGCTCTATTACAGAGCTGTAACCATCAAGACAGTATGGTACTGGCACAAAAACAGACACATAGATCAATGGAACAGAATAGGAAACCCAGAAATGGACCCTCAACTCTATGGTCAACTAATCTTCAACAAAGCAGGAAAGAATGTCCAATGGAAAAAAGACAGTCTCCTTAACAAATGGTGTCGGGAAAATTGGACAGCCACATGCAGAAGAATGAAACTGGACCATTTTCTTACACCATACACAAAGATAAAATCAAAATGGATGAAAGACCTAAATGTGAGACAGGGATCCATCAAAATCTTAGTGGAGCACACAGGAAGCAACCTCTGTGACCTCAGCCACGGCAACTTTTGTTAGACACGTTTCCAAAAGCAAGGGAAACAAAAGCAAAAATGAACTACTGGGACTTCATCAAGATAAAAAGCTTCTGCACAGCAAAAGAAACAGTCAACAAACCTAAAAGGCAACCTACAGAAAGGGAGAAGATATTCTCAAATGACATATCAAATAAAGGACTAGTATCCAAGATCTATAAAGAACTTCTCAAACTCAACACCCAAAAACCAAACAATCCAGTCAAGAAATGGGCAGAAGACATGAACAGACACTTCTCCAAAGAAGACATACAAATGGCCAACAGACACATGAAAAAAATGCTCAACATCACTTGGCATCAGGGAAATCCAAACCAAAACCACAATGAGATATCACCTCACACCAGTCAGAATAACTAAAATTAACAAGTCAGCAAACAACAAATGTTGGTGAGGATGTGGAGAAAGCGGAACTCTCTTACGCTGTTGGTGGGAATGCAAGCTGGTGCAGCCACTATGGAAAATAGTATGAAGGTTTCTCAAGAAGCTAAAAATAGAGGGCACCTGGGTGGCTCAGTCATCAAGCGTCTGCCTTCGGCTCAGGTCATGATCCCAGGGTCCTGGGATCGAGTTCCACATTGGGGTCCCTGCTTAGTGGGAAGCCTGCTTCTCCCTCTCCCACTCTCCCTGCTTGTGTTCCCTCTCTCACTGTCTCTCCCTCTGTTAAAAAATAAATAAAATCTTAAAAATAAAAAAAATAAAAAGCTAAAAATAGAGCTACCCTATGACTCAGCGATTGCACTACTGGGTATTTACCCCAAAGATACAAATGTAGTGATCTGAAGGGGCACCTGCA